CCAAACTGGGTGCGGTTGGTCTGTCTCGCCTTCCGGGCTGGAGTCCACGTGACTCGCCTTGTGCTTGGCTCGAGACTTTACAGGACCTGGCTCGCAGTAGACACCAGTAGCGCGTCTGCTGCCGTCTCCTAATCGGATTGCCTGTTTAAACTGTGTTTGGTGCTGAGTTATCTGCGGCGTAATGACTGATTATGACGTAAGGCAGTGAAATCCGCAAGGAAGCTGTCTCGCCGATGCCGCCTTCTCTTTGCAAGATAGCCAGCTTTTTGCAACGGTATGTTTTCTACACAATTTGTAGGTGCCTTGACCTTGAATGTTTGCTTAGAGCATTAAGATTTTCGGGTAAATCCCTTTTCTCTCCCTGTTATTATGCTTTATTTCATAGGTCATCGTGGTTGTATGGCAGCGCAGCATCAGTTCAGATGGCTGATGTACTACTGTTGTTGTTTTTTAATCCTTACTGCATTTAACTGGAAGGTTAAATCGGAGTTGAGCTGGCTGTTTAGCCCGGCTAGTTTGCCATGTCTTCGCGGTCATCCCATGAAGGTACACACGCCGCGTTCTGACCGGATCAGGGCGGAAACTCGGTTATCGCTGGAACTCGCTTCCAGAAAGTGTAGTCTGTGAACGTACGGTTAAGGTTTTCGAGCGTCAGTTAGACGCTCTTAGGTGGCAACAAGAAACCATTCCCTTCTCCTGACCAAATCCATTTTCCAACTTTGAGTTCATACTCTGTTATTCTCCTCACTGGTGTTATTTTTCATGTAAATAACTCTCTCCCTATCTTCTATTTCCTTCCTATGTCTTCCTTAATGTACGTGACCTACACAACAGGGACTGCTATTGCAGGGAACGTGGGCAGTAATTGGTTGACCGGGGGGTGGTTCGGGTGTTTCGTTGTAGATTCATCAAGGCCTCGTAGCACCTCATTTGCTAGCTCAACGATCCGCTCAAGAAGGAACAGTCAAGATATTTTCCTACCGTTCCAACCCCATCTGAATCTGCCAAATTTGCTTTTAGACATGTTGGCTGCACGGGTTTTTATAGCTGCGATCATACACTTCGTTTATCTATGGCCTACCACTTAGTCGCATTAGCATTTCCTGATTTACATTGTTGTGGAGAGCACACACTATCAAGGCGATTAGCGATGATGGTACGTAAATGTTCTGGTTTCAAATTCAAGACAGCTACAAACCCCTTACAGTTGGCATGATGTACATAGCCGCATCCAGTAACGGCAATTTTGTTCTGGACCTATGGGAGGGGTGAAAACTACCTAATTCTGGGTGACTTCAATGCACCGGATACTGACTGGATCTGCTTCACTGTGGGCTTTCTCTCACATCATTTGTTGCTGACCTTTTTAGAGCAGTCCTCGATAAAAACTTATCGCAACACGTCTCCACGTCGACAAATATACTTCCGAGCCAGTCACCCCATATGCTCGATCTGGTACTCGCACCAGTCAAGTATCTGACAGAGGTATTAACCGCTAAAGGTTATGGTGTATAGGACCTTATGGCGACTACTCAGTCAGGTAACAACTAGGAAATATCAGCAGACTTGTCTGATGGCACGAAAGGAGAAATGGAACGCTGATCGGTAAACTGTGATCCGGCGGCCGATGCGAGGCACGCACAACAATCCACAGTGGCAGCGTCACTGAAACCAGAAGACGAACAAAATTCGAATTTTCTATCTGGATGTGCGTTGAAACAAATGTACACTAGTTATCGAAAAATAGAACAGGAAGTAACAATAAAATATAAAGAATGTATAAGCACTACAAGTATATTCTGACATTAACCGAATTAACCGAATTAGCGATCAATCTGCTCCCATCTTCTGACCAATGCATCTAACGCCGCAATGTTTGGCGCACCGACCAATCCCACCTTAGAGAGGTGGATGGCAAGCTTGACTAAAATGTGCCCCATGACACCGAAACCGCCTGTGCCTGGACACTTTCGCGCTTCAAAATGAACTTGCTGATTGAACAGGCCGTCCCAAACGACGGCGTTTTGCGAGAGGTCCTCTGGATTTATCTAGAACTACGGATCTTGATGAACCAACGAAGCAATCTGGGGGATAGTCTCAAGTTCTCGTATTTTACCCACTGTATGAAGGTTAGAAACCTCTGTTCTCTACACAAACACGAGAACAAGCTCCATTATGAACGGAATCTGTCTGAGTAATCCCGGTCTAGGTCCAAAGAGCTCTATACGAACATTAACGAAAGGACCAAAGCCAGCTGTGACATACCCGCACTGTTCTCCCATTCAACCTACTCTGTACTGTACGAGGATAAAGCGAATGCGGATCTTTTGACAAGGCATTACTCCTCCGTATCTTTACTAGAAGCTCAGTCTATCAAATGCTTTGAGTCTAAACGTTTCCACAGTCTGCATCAGATGAAGCTCAACACGGTAACTATTATGAAACTCCCGCTAAAGCTAGATGCAAACTCCTCACTGGGCCCTGCTGAATTTCAACCCCAGTTCCGCAAGACAGTAGCTGACTACGTGGCTGAACCCATCAGTCAAGTCTTCCACTTGTCTGAAAAATGACCGTCTACGCATTGACTGGAACACAGGTATCGTGATGAAAAGGCACAATTGCGAGTGTGAATTCTAAATTCTCGATTCTGAGCTATGCTACTGCACATTTACCAGTAGTTCAATTTCTTTATATTTTTCCCGTTGAACGTTGTGGTACTAGAGTTGACCTGTTCATGCACAAATGTTCGGCTTTAACAAACTGATAAAACCCTGCAATTTTTCTGCATTTATTATCTTTTTTTCTTTGCTTAATTGTTGTGAGCTTACGGTTTGCGTCTCATCGGTTGTAATTTGTTTTACTGTGCCAGTTTACGGACTATTCGCCATTTGCGCAGACTTAACTGCTGACGTGGAATAATTGCTGCCCGAATTAGCGAGTCGCATTACGTATTCGTGAGTTAATTGTATTCTTTTTTTGTTTATTACTGCTATTGTAGAACCACGGTTATTCAGTATACTCATTCCGCCCACTGCCCTGCATTTTAACTGCCCAGACCGTGCGTTAGTTAGGTGATACAATTAGCCTCATACTCTCTGCCGTAACACAAGTTGAATAGTGAACTCGCGCTCCGATGAACGAATCAAGGAGGCATTCTTTGTCAGAGCATTCACAGCACAGCGAGGATAAGGTAGCTATGACAACGTCTGATCAACTCTCCGTTGCAATGCGTAGAATTGCGGAACTAGAAAGTCGTCTGGAAGCTTTAAGCTTTCATGATGCAAATAAGGTACGTGCTGAAGCAGTTATGCTGGACGGTAAATCGACGCTTGTTCTGCCTGAGTTATCTGGATTTCCCGTGTCTAATAATAATGCTGAAGGCCTCACGGAAAGAGATGGGGGGCGTAGACAGATGGTGTTGTCGGATACGGCGCGGGATTTCGCTCAGTTTCCACAGGTTCGAATCCCGCCGCCTGAGTTCAACGAATTGGTTCCATCTGTGCCGGATGCTATCGCAGGTCTACCAAAAAGGGAAGTTGTACGTTTCGATGGGGATCCGATGAAATATTGGTTGTTTGTACGAAGTTTCCAAGCGAATGTTAAGAGTATTACTTCCAACCCTTGTGTGAGACTTCATATCTGATTAATTACTGTGAAGGCCAGGCACGCGAGACTATTGAGAGGTGTTATATTGGATCCGGAAGAGGGTCTTCTTGATGCCATGGAGACGCTCAAATTGAGGTTCGGCCGCCCTCACTTGATTGCCAGAGCTTACATCGAAAGTCTAGTCAAAGGACCATCGATCAAGGCGAATGATTCGGAAGCGCTCCACAGATTAGCCGGGCAGATGAAAACTTGCTTAAATACGCTGCAACAACTAAATTACGAGGCCGATCTGAACGCTACTGTGACGGTGTCGGCGGTGATTAGGCGACTGCCTTACTCACTTCAGCTCGATTGGTCAAAGAAAGCTACCAGTATCCTCCGCACTTGTAGAGAGCCCGCCTTTAAAGACCTATAACAGTTTGTTTGTGACGTGGCTGAGACTGTTACTACTCAGGCTATGTACTCGAATGAAATCATTAGAAGGACTGAAGGACCCTACACGGCAGAAAGACCTCAAAGCCGTGGCAATCGCATAACTACCTTGGCAACCGGAGGAACAGTGCCGCAGACTCAGAGACGCGCGCCCTCGTGTGTCGCATGCACAGCGCACCATTACCTTGATCAGTGCCCTCGATTCCAGACCTTTGATCATTCAGAACGCTTGCTGCTCGTTTCTGGAAAGAGTCTATGTGAACTGTGCCTCAAAGCTAACCACACGTCTGAGCTTTGCAGATCCCGAGTCACGTGTGGATTCAACGGTTGCCAGTTGAAACATCATCCTTTACTACACGAAGCCAAGACGAACCAACTAACTTCACCAAGAGCTGTGGTAAACGAAACGAATGTGTCGTGGGGTCGAATAGCTTTAGGGATTATTCCAATTCTGCTGCGTGGAAAAACCAAGTCACTGGTGAGCAATGCTTTACTTGACCCAGGATCTGATTCGTCACTTGTTGATGAACAGCTGTTGCAAAGGCTTGACTTACCAGCCAGACCGTCAGTGGTACAAATAGCAACGGTTAACGGTGATTCAACGATGTGCTCGCAAGTTGTACGCCTGGAGTTGCAACCGCTGGAAGGAGGTAAATCACTGCATGTGGATCATGCGTGGGCCGTCAAAAGGATGCCTAAGGTACAGAGGATAATACCGGAGCCAGAATGCCTGCGCAGTTGGGAACACTTAAAGGACCTCCCGTTTATCGATGGTTGTGATGAAGGAGTCGGAGTGCTTATTGGCATGAATGTCCCGGAAGCCCACTGGGTGCTTGAGCATCGGTATGGAAAACCGTCAGACCCCTTTGCCATACGAACACCGTTAGGTTGGATCCTGCTCGGTCCGGTGGGGGGGAAAGGCGTAACGAACATTTATGCCAACTCAATCAGTGTAGAAGACTCTACTTCGAGCGACTCGGAGTGACTCGACGACGCTGATACCGAGGAGTACCACTTCCATTGTACTCACGGTGCTCCAAGGTCTCGGAATCCGAGCAAACAGCATTCGCTTTATCTCTGGATCCGGCATCATAAGTTGAGTCATCAACGTGTGGAGATTTGCATTCTGAGATGTGAGACAGCATAGTTGCTTCGGCAGCGGCCTCTTCTAGAGCAATGTCCACGGCCTCAGTGATCTCTGAATCTGCCACTGAAAAGAAGTAATGCAACGGAAAGTTGGAATTATTAAAAAACACTACAGCTGAACAAAATAGGATAATAATTCGGGGAAATCCTGTATAGAAAGGTGAATCAGGTGAAATGTTTGGTAACTGGGACAGTTGCACCCTAGGAACAAAAGTAGAAGAGACACATAAGAAGTAGTTTTCAACTGGAATTCACACCACATCTCATGCCAGAGTCAAATACATGGCCAGCTGATGCCAAGACGGATTGAATACACACACAAAACGGAAAATACCATGGGCGGACACTACTGAAATACAACAGTTTATTACTGAGTACAGTCAATATAAGAATGCGGCCAAGAGATCTACCAGGAGCTTCCAGTAGGGAGGTGAAAGAAACGCGTACAATCATGATGGTGGCTGAATATCCATCAGGCCATGGGACACTGAATATTACGCACAAAGTCGAGTGTGTCTGTAGAGGAGACATTGAGATGTTAGTATGTTATTATATAAGGCTCGAGGGGATATCATCTGCAAGTGTTCGACGGGGTCGCAGGATAAGCTGCGCAAAGCAAAGGGCAGTAAACACAGGCCGTAATGACGCATGCAGCCTCTCAAGGAGGTAACAATGAAGCTCCGAGTCGATCCACACGATGGACCGAAAGCAAGATGAACCGATGGATCCGCTGGCATGAAAACTGACGCCACCGCCGTCATACGCATGAGTCAGAGGTGAGAGATGTCTCGTCTGCACTGCTGCAATACAATGAAATTACGTAGTCACAAAGAAATGAAACAAACGCGAAAACGAAAGATAACCCTAGGTCCTGTTGTTAATGTGCGTCATTTGTGAGACGGGGGTTCGAAGGTCAAGAGAAGTCGGGAAGGATGGGACGAAGAAACTCACAACACAAATGCCATTGAGATCGGCTCCTCGCCATGTCAACAAGTGTTCCTAATCATACGTGCTCATCGTCTTTCGGACCCCAACCCGAAAATCGGGAGGCATCAACCGATTGCAAGTGAGGGTCCTCATTCATTCTGACCAAGTCATTGTTGGGGTCCTTCCCTATTCTACTATCCAGATTCCAGCGGCGCAAACAACGCACGTTGCGAAGTCGTTGTGCTGGTATGTATACCACACGACCACGCCACAGAAACTGGTGCGTGAACTAACGGTGCTGAGCAGTTCAATCACACTTTTTGCACCAAATAAGAGACGGAAAACAGGCTTATTGCTCACGCGGTGTACCCACTAGACATGAACTGCGAAGACAGCGATGATCAAACGTAACTAGCCTCTTTATGTATATCGAGTTGACAAGCCAAGTTTCTCCACGATACAGGAGAGATGAACGCACAAATGCGTTGCAAACTGACGTCAACATGATTCTCACATATGCCCTCGGTCTGCTGCAGGAGTGTTCGATACTTGTATTTTGCTACCATTCAAGCACGATAGTGCAAAGGTGCCCAAACCCATGCAACAGCTGGGAAACTGACTCCGGAATTGGATAATGCAAATCAAAGACCAGAAGACTATGCCAAGAATTTTCAGTTGCACGATCGTACGATTAAAAAAATTCACCTCTCGTTGGACTGTGTGCGATTCGTTTATATCCACTGAACACTAGTGATGGATAATTGCATGCGCGAGTGATTGAGTCAGGTGATCCTGGTCTTCCGACAAATTTCCGTCACTGAAAATATACGTATCTCAAGCGTTGTCTAAAACTGTGAACGAACACATTTTTCTGGTCGGGAGTGAAGTCCATCCGCAAAGCAACTATAGTCGTGTAGTGCTGTAACGTAATATCGCGTGAGGCCAAACCAGAAAATTTTCTTAGAGACCGAATTTTGTCCGCAAGTTGGGACGGCAGGAATACACAAATTCGTCACTGGGTGGTAATGGATTGGTAACTCGTTCCGAATGGACATAAAATTTTACTAAATGGAAGAACATTTAGGTTAAGATCATTAACGTTAACGACGCATTGTACTGTTTAATCCTCTTTGTAGATATATTACGTTACTTTTTATTTTCTTTGCATTTTGAGATTCACCTAAAACGAGTTTTAAAGGGATGGTTATTGTTTCAGTGGGACGGACAGAGCAGTTCTATCCGCATCAAGGAGTGTCCTAATCGTATAACGAACCAGTTTCGTTGCAGAAACGGTGTAACACAATAGAGATTAGGTATTCTGGGAAAATTTTGCTGTTGGGGAGAACTATAAAAGGACGATGAGATGTCTTCGAGAAGGAATCGCTAGAGCGCTCGCGTTCCCAGGGCAACGATAGGTTCAACTTTCTACGGGGAGTGCGAACCATAATAAAGTCGGGGCATCATTTTCACTTTGTAAACAGGGTACGGTGTATAAGGTAGGATTCATCTTAACTGACCGTTAGCGGGAAGCCTGAAGGGAGAATTGTGTATGAGTTTCGAAGGACAATAAACCAAAATGTTTATACGAACCGCTGATTTCATCCGATTCACGATCGTGAAAGATGCGTGTAGTATCTGAAGATGGTCGGACACAAGTATCAAGAGCTATAGATGGAGATGGTCCGGAATGCCTGGCGCTGCAATAGAGGCAGCCGACGTCACTGTCAATGGTTCCTTCAGAAGTTGTATCTCTTGATGCTGTTCCCGGTGTAGGTTCAAAGATGACCGATCTTCGGAGAGGAAGTTGTTCGGTGGACATGTTTTCGCCCGCTCGACTGGCGCAGAATTTCGGACTGGAGTAATATTCTCGAGAGGAAGCTAGTGATTGGAAGAAACCTTCAACATGTTGACGAATTCATTTATATAAAAAAAATGACGGTCAGCAGCGGTAACAACTAAAACCGAAGATATGAAGCTAATGCTGTGACGAGGGGTTTCCGTAAAAAGATGACCCACTCATTGCACAAGCAGGCAGAGCTTTACACAAGTAGACGTAACACTGACAGCTGCATTTATCGGAGTCGTTGTTATGTAGTGTTCTACCAGTCTGCACTTTAAGTTTAAACATGGGAAGGTCTTTTCTGTAAAAATCCTGGTGTGAAAACATATTTAACTGATTATAGAATATCGACAACATCTAACTGCCCTGAAAACGATTTTTGAAATTCCGTATATAGGAAGAAATTTCTTTTTTTGTACATAGTTTCTAACTCTACATGTGACAGCGCAGCCTATATGCTTGTGAAGTGATACGCTGCCACGTGCACACATATCTTCAAGGTTGGCAATTCTTCATTCATCAAAAATGTCCGCTTTTGCCATTTCTCACCTTTCACAACAGAGCACTTAATTACTTCCACACACTAGATAGTGTTCTCTTAGTTATGTGCATACTGAACCAAGTTAAAGGTATAAATTCCATAAGATAAAATAAAACTATTGTTTCCTGCAGACTGGTGGAACGCTACATCGGCAATCAATGACTGACTGACTCACATTGTTCTTAGAGCAAAGTAATGATAATCCCGATTTATGGTCAACTCCTATAGTGCTAACAATTCCGTGGCAGTAATCTCGTCTACACTGCCTGACAGGTGAGCGTGCGAGGTGCTAGTGTCGTTAACCTCACTCTCAGATACCTGCATAGATCGTAGATGCGGACACGGCCCGTTAGATGAAAGTGAGGTTATATGGCAAAGTGTACCCCAGCGAAGGCAAATCAGGAGCAACACTGTATAGACTGGTCATTCAAAACACTAATATCGTCTGAGGTATGCAAGTGAGACAGTCACAACCCATCAGTGGGATGCTTCGAGTAGACTGGCTGCTGATCATAGCGAATGCTAATGTCGATCACAGAGCCTCAAGAGTCGAACCGCGTTTCGCGTGCGCATCGGGACTGTCTCGGTGCGTAGTGTTGACTTTGTATGTGGATGAAACAAAAATTTTTTTAGTCCGTAATGTATGAGTTGCCTTTCTTTTTTGCATCCATTCAATGCACTCATGTCGACTTTTGTGGTGCGAGTAACGGCACCAGGCACACTGCACTTCTGCATTCGTATCACAATGAATCTTCCAGCTGTTAAGCGTACGAGCATGCAAACATCCGACAAACCCCTCCTAGAAGGTGAAGAAAAAGCAAGCATGAGCTCACCATCGCGGTCCAAATGAAATGACTCTGGTTCTTTTCAAGTGAGGGTCCACATAAGTCATTCCGTCATATAAGCACTTCGAGGACATTGTGCTTATCTGCAAAAGGAGTGGTTGAACGGATTGCGTGAACGACCGGTGAGTCAGCTTCATATGCCTTACGTCCAGATTTCTTGCCTAGCTGCGTTTACGGAGCGCATACGTGAAGAACAGGCTGGGTTTCGTCCAAGTAGGAGATGCACTGACTACATCATCACTAGCAGAGAGAGATAGGAGTACCGCCAAGTTTTCAGCCAGTCTACAATCGTTTGGATACTGAGTGTGCGTGCAGCAGTTGACTCAGCTTACGGAGTTACTCTGGAGTTGTCCGCTGAGAAGGGGAGTGACTAAAAAACTTGGGAACATTTTTCAAGCCATTTACTCTCGAACCTCGAGCATGGTGCGAACGTACAATGAACTTTTTCCTCCTTTAGTATCGCCATTTTTGCGAGACGGGGTTGCCCCGCATCACACTTATTGTTCAACTTCGATATCCGTGATATATTAATGTTATAATCTTCCCACTAGACGCGATTCCGAAATTGACACTTCACTGCTCCACAAAACTTCTAGTCCAACCGAAGAGAAAAACAGAACACCAATGACCTTGACAGAATAACGTATTAATCAACGTCAACAAACATGGTACAACTACCGCGGACCTTGGTTGCATTTTTAGGTCTCTTACTGACTTTCAACTTCTAGAATTGGAAGGGTAGCTACCAAGGTTAGTGGTTCCCCATTGCTTTTGCCGAGGTGTCATGTGGTTTTTAGTCACGTACAGAAACAAGAACATTCCGGAACGTTCGAACTCGATTAATCGCTAAAGCAGTGGATTTCCTAGGCAATTGTTATTTTCTCCCGGACACTTAGAAAGGGCTCTGGCAAACTGTGGGCTTGGCGGAGTTGAGTTACCCTTGGGTGGTGGGCTCCGTGAGTTGGAGCACATTGGCAACATCGCCGTAATCTTTGACTCCTCGCAGGCTGCGCAGGACATGTTGCGCAAGCGGGAGATGTCTGTATCACAATTCAGTAAGGTATTTGGCTCTTACTAGTGCAGTCTTCAACCACCACTGGTTAGAAGCTGCTCATACACTCGCTTACGTCGTCCCTTCTTTGGAAGTAGTTGACAAATTCGTTTATCTCGGGAGCTGCATCAGCGTGAGCGAGGTGACGGATGAAATCAATTTCAGTGTGACCAAAGCCAGAGTAGCTTTTGTCAACCTCCGACATCTCTGGCGCCCGCGTGATAACGTTCGACGCCGGGTTTCCAAGTCAGACAATCTCCGGCGTCCACTGAACTGCAGATTTTCCTGATTGCGCTGCAGTGACCCGGGCACATCCTCCGTACACCTGCTCAACGGTTGTCCCGCCACAATTTGTTTGCATGCGCCGGCGTTGGTTGGAAGCGACAGATAGGTGGCTAACAAGTAACCTGGTTTCGAAATGTCAAGGCCCTGACACTGCAGTTGGCCATGGTGGGGTGTTGCAAACTCCCTGGTTGGAGGCCCTAGGACAACGAGCACACCTGTTTGGAAGCACTATCGAATATGATCCGGAATCGTGTCCAATGGGAAAGGTCTGGGAGACCCTCATGCTCTGATTGCCTTTCCTTTCCTCTTTTATTTGTTGCAGGTGTTGTCGCACAATACTAATTGTTTATTTACCAAGTGCTTAATAAATAAAAATAGATCGCAATCCTAAATGTCTAAGCCAGATGAAAAGGGTGGCAGATGGCATTTTATGCTCTATTAAGGCAACAGGCGTCAGCCTCGAAAATAGTTACCGGCAGTGTGTGAGTCTTGTGCCGAGGACTCAGTACCAGGCAACCGCCAGCAGCTATATGTGGGTAGACACTTCGAGATCGCCTGTCCCCACATAGGTTCCAATCCGTGACCCAGACGTCTAAACGATTCATCCACCGCCGAGAAGTGTGCGATCAGGGAAGTAGGCCGTAGATAATACGAAAAAGACCTAGGAACGAATGGGCGAGATCGATGAGCAGATCAACAGTCAAACAGAGGTGTTAGCATTTTGGGTTATTACGAGAGAAAAAATTCAACCACCAATCCGAACCGCGCAGGTATGCATACCTGATGGAGGGTCAGAAAAACCCATCTAGTACGTTAGTAAATATCTTAGTAATAAGGGAACAGTTGCGCTATCATTATCATCATCAGCATCAGCAACAGCAGTACATCAGCCATCTGAACTGATGCTGCGCTGCCATACAACCACGATGACCTATGAAATAAAGCATAATAACAGGGAGAGAAGAGGGATTTACCCGAAAATCTTAATGCTCTAAACAAACATTCAAGGTCAAGGCACCTACAAATTGTGTAGAAAACATACCGTTGCAAAAAGCTGGCTATCTTGCAAAGAGAAGGCGGCATCGGCGAGACAGCTTCCTTGCGGATTTCACTGCCTTACGTCATAATCAGTCATTACGCCGCAGATAACTCAGCACCAAACACAGTTTAAACAGGCAATCCGATTAGGAGACGGCAGCAGACGCGCTACTGGTGTCTACTGCGAGCCAGGTCCTGTAAAGTCTCGAGCCAAGCACAAGGCGAGTCACGTGGACTCCAGCCCGGAAGGCGAGACAGACCAACCGCACCCAGTTTGGTCGTCAGTGACTTCAATTCACGCTGCCAAATCAAGT